GCATTTTAAATCACTTGCATTTCACTTGCATTTTTAAATCACTTGCATTTCACTTGCAATTTTAAACCACTTGCATTTTTTTAAAAAAAATTCTATTTGTTTGAAATGCATATTTGAAGATTGTACACTATCGTTTGGCTGAGCTGCAGACAGATATTGAAGCAGTTCGATCATTATTATATCGAGCTGTCCTAGAACGGCTACTCGGCAAAGATGTCACAATGTTGGCTAGTATGGGTAAATTAAAAGCTTCACGTTTGGCTAGAGCAGTGACCGATTCATGCATGCAGGTGTGAATTTTTTTATAATTTTCCCATAAACTCCCTATGAGTGGACAATTGAAATTTTCATTCGCGACAAATTTTTAAATTGTTACATAAAGGATTTGGCAATAATCTTGCAATATTAAACAAAGTGACATCAATCTTTGCATTGATTTTTGTTAAATTAATTTTGTCCTGGATTGTATTGATATTTCAAAAATTTCTTTAAAAAAAATAATTCATAATTAGATAATTAATAATGAATTTTTATATAATTATTTTAAAATTAAAAATTAAAATTTTTTAATTTTCAAATTATTTCCAATCAAGAATTATTTAATTACAGTTTTGGGGTGGTAATGGATATGAGTGGAATAATTTGATCAGTCGTTATCATCGAGATTTTCGATTATTCTCAATTGCTGGTGGTTGTGATGAAGTAATGCTTAGAATTATTTCAAAACGGATGAATATGATAGAATAAATAAACTTTTTTGACATATTGCATATATTTTCAAGTATTCCATGGCAATTCCTATCTTTTCCCATCCTCTTTCATCATCTATCTTCTTATCATTTTCTTATCAAATATCAAGTATGATTAATTTCAAGAAGCTAAAATTATCAAATTTTAATAGCCTAAAAAAATTAATTACCAATCAAAAATTTCAGGAATTATCTTGTCAAAATTTCTGCTACCATTGAAGATTTGTCTTTCATTAAATATTTCAATATAGATTTTTCAAAATAATGCTAAACTATAAAACTACTGTCATTCCGAATGTTATCCGGAAGATATATTCCAGACTTTTTCCGTTTCCCGCAAAATTACCAATCTTTTAACTTTAATTTTTTTCACATATAATCGTACAACTAGCATTCTACTAATTGGTTCTCTTTAAACATCGGAACAGTAATGGAAAAATCATTTCAATGAAAATGAAATTTTAAAGTATTAAAAAAAAAGAAAGCAAAAGTATAATTGTTATGTTTAGATTCATTTCCTTGAAAGAATTTCATTATATATGAATAAATAAAAGAAAAAGAAATGATAAAATGGATATCATAAACTTATCATTATTTAATCAATTTATAGCCTTAAGCCTTAATTTTGTTAACATCGAATAAGTGGGATTGAACTTTAACCTTATTAACGACATTTTTTAATTTTAATCTTTGTTTGTTTATTTATTTACTTTTTTTTTGCTTTGAATTTTAGCTATGAATTGTGACATTTTTAGTTTAAGTTTATTATGGATATTGTAATTTTACTTATTTTGTCGAAAAAAATAAATCTACCAAAAAGCATTTATTGATGTTATCTTAAGGCTCATTTCCAATCATATCATTGTTTTATCACTATGATATTCCATTATCACAGTTTCCAAAAGCGCAAAGTTATCACAAAAAGTTGTCCAAAATTGACACAAAAAAGTTTTTAATGTTTAATCTTTATTCCGAATATTTTGATTAAATAAACTTACTTGATGTTAATGCTATTTAAACAAAAGAAAAAAAAGGAATTTAAAATCGAGAAATTGAGAATCTCATGATAAATGTTAGTCTTTTATCATTTATACAGCTCAACATTAATTTTTCATACTTTTAAAATAAAAATTCTTACAAATTGCGACAATTTGTAAGAATGCGACAATTATTTGGAAAAAATTTGTTTAAATAAAACTTTGCACATTCTTTTAAAAGAAAAGCTTCAATTATTGGCTTCTTTTGATTTTGTTAATTAAAAAAAAAAGTTGGCTTAAAAATAAACAGAAATCTACAAAAATTATTCAAATTATTTAGCTGAAACTGGATAAATAGCTAGCAAAAGTCGGAATGGATAATGAATGTGTCACAGTTCAAGCATCATTGTCCACTCTTTGACCACTAGGATAGCTAACAAATTCGGAGTGGATAATGAAATGTGTCACAGTTCGAGCAACATTGTTCACTCTTTGACCACTAGATAGCTTAACAAATTCGGA